ATTAAAACCACATCATTAAGCTAATAAAGTTTATAAAAATTAATGGGTTTGGGAGAGAAGGGGCACACAGCCTTACCACCATAATAAAAACTAATAAGTTAATACTATTTGAGCAGCTACTGGGTATTAGGTATTATTCTAAAAGATTTATATATATTAACTCAACCCTCCTAAAGGTCCTATTAGAGTATTACTCTTAATCACTGAGGATCCAAAGCACATAGGGATTAACTAATTTGACCAAAGTAACAAAGTGAATAAACAGTAAAACCAGGAAATGTAAATTAACACAGTCCTTTCAAGGGCAATTTGACAACAGTCATCAACAACCTTAAAATGTGCAACTTTTGACCTGGAAATTTCAGTGCTAAGAATCTACTCTAAAGAAACAGATCTGGACACCTTGATGTCCATTAACAGAAGACTGGACTGCTACATAGATCTACCGTTCTGGATTGAACACATGCATTTCTCTACGCTCCTTCCCAAAATATCACTAAAATGAAAGTTAAGGGATGAAAAGATATAAAGCTACAAAGATAATAAAAGTCAAGAATCAAGAGAGATGAGAGATATCAAAACATTGTGGGAGACAAAAAGCAGAGAAAAAAGTGGTAAGTGACCAAGCACATGAAAGGAAGATGAAGACTAAATGCCTATGGCCAGCCATGCCAATGAGAAGTGAGCTAATACGTGCCTGAAACAGTGGAAAAACTTAGGAATTAAAAAAAGCAAGTACTATAGTTAAGTGAAGCATTTGTCATATACATAAAAAAACAAACAACAAAAAAAGTTAGTTAACTCCAGAGGGGAAAAAAGGTTATACACAAAAGGAAATATAATTCTGTGATCATGTTACTTGGCTCAGCAGCTAACACTGTTTATGTATTCATAATGGAGACTCAACCAAGACCTGCACCAAATCTTCACTTTTCCATAAAGTCAATCAATTATGAAAATAATAAACCAACAAATAGCAATTTTATATGTTATTTAGAAATGTGAAGGTAAATACCAGAACAAATTGGTTAAGAGCTGAAAATGGATGGGGTGAGGTAGCAAGGAAATGTTATTTTACTTTACTTTTTAGAGACAGTCTCGCTCTGTAGCCCAGGCTAGAGTGCAGTGGCACTATCATAGCTCACCGCAACCTCAAACTCCTGAGCTCAAGAGATCCTCCTGCCTCAGCCTCCAGAGTAGCTGGGACTATAGGTGCACACCACCACGCCCAGCTAATCTTTTTATATTTTGTAGAGGTGGGATCTGGCTATGTTGCCAGGCTGGTCTTGAACTCCTGGCCTCAAGCGATCCTCCCACTTCAGTCTCCTAAAGTGCTGGGATCACAGGGAAATGCTATTTTAAATTAAGCCTTGTAATACTAGTTGACCTTTTATAATATATAGGTAACATTATAAATTAATTCTAAAAAGAAAAATAAAAACTTGTTATAAAAAATTATAGAATATTCAGAAAAACACAAAATATAAATTCCCAACCAGAGAGAATTGCTGTCTACATTTTGATATGTTATTCAGCCCTTATTCTATGTATGCCTATCTTTAATCTACATATTTTAGACAATTAGGCTTCTAACTATACTGCTTTGTAAATGAAATTTTCACTTAATTTTTTATGGGCATTTCTTCAGTAAGTACATATATATCTAGAACGTAGAGAATAAACTAATTACCCTAGACAAAGTTTTTAATGTGATATTAAGTAATATCATCTTGGGATAGAGTTAGTCATGCATTTGATATTGGATTTGCTTGTTCAAGACTGAGTAGGAATTTATTTCTTCTATAGAAAAAGTAAAGACTAATGTAATAACACATTTTCTATATTGCCTAACTAGTAAAATGTAAAAGTGTTTAGAATAGAAACTTGCTTGCTCTGTCCAGTAAGAATTTCTTTGCCTGGAAAAAAAAGGTTTTATCACAATATATTACTAAATTTTAAAAAAAAATCAGGTTCCAAAGTAATATACAGTGTGATCCCTAATTTATTTCTTAAAGTGTAAATAGCACAGGGAGGAAAACGCCTGAAAAGACACACTAAAAAACAAACAGTAGATGATCTTTACTTTCTTCTGAGTGCTTTGCTAAATTTTCTTCAGTGGTAAGTAACTGGCATTACTTTTGGAGTCAAAAAAGATACTTTTACATTGTTAAGAAACTACAGTCAATGCAAGGGTGTGAATAGTTCAAAAGTGACTTAACTGACTGCTAGACTTGTTTTTACACTTTTTATGGATTTTTCAAAACACTTCCACACTGCACTGAAACTGGATTTACTTGTTGGTCTTTGTTGGGTCTTTTGTTCTTTCATTCAATAATTATTGAGCCTCTACTATGTGCCAGGCACTGTTCTAGGTACCAAGCATTTAGCAGTGAGCAAAATGGATAAAGTCTCTATCCCTCTTTGATAGGGAAGACAAAGACCAAAAGTTTATAAAGACCAAAAATATATAAAAATATATACTCTTAGTGACAAAGCAAACACAAGCATACAACACACACCCCTCTACTTTCAAGTGTGATGAGGAAAAGTGAAGGATAAAGGAGCAAAGCGACACTAAGGTGGGAAGAGAGGATTGTCAGGGTAGGCTTCTCTGAGCAAGTGGTATTTAAGCAGAGACCTGAATGAAGTAAAGGAACTGGCCAGAGGAAGATATGGGAGAGGGAATGTCAAGAATATCAAGTAAAAGGCCTTGAGCTGGCACTGGGCTTGGAATGTGCAAGAATAGCAGGAACAAGACCAGTGTGTTAAGAGTGGATGAGAGAAGGGAGAGCAGCAGGAGGCAGTGTGGCCACTTCACTCAGTGCCTTGTAGGTCCACGCCGTGATTCTGAATTTATTCCAAACGTGACGAAGACACTAGGTCTTAAAAAGATCACATTGCCTGTTGCATGGATATTTGATTGTGTGAGGGAGTGAAGGGAAGGAAGCAGGAAAACCTGGGAGATGATTATAGGCATCCAGGCAAGAAACAATCATGGCCTGGACCAAAGTGGTAGGGTAAGCAGATGAGATGTGATCTGAGAGGATATATTTTGATGGTTGATCCAATATAACTTGCTGATAGATTAGATAAGAGAAATGAGGAAGAAATCACGGACATTTCTTAGGTTCTTGGCCAAAGCAACTGCATAAATGTGGGCACCAGTTCCTAGACTGGGGCTGACCAGCAGAGAAGTCTGTGGGTGGCAGAAATTAGGGGACCCATTTTGGACATGTTAAGTGTGAGATGACCACTGGACATTCAAGTTAAGATGTCAGGTAGGCAATCACACCTATAAGTTGACATTCAGGAATAAGTTGGAGCTGAAGACATAAATCTAATATTTACAGTGTATGGGACTAAATGATATTTCCTAGGGTATGAGGGCAGAGAGAAAAGAAAAGAGGGCTGAAGACAGCTCTGAGGCGTGCCAACATTTAGAGACAGGGAGAAGGGAAGGAGACCAGTGAGGTGTCCCAAAAGCCAAGAGAAAGTGTTTCCAGTAGGAGATAGTAGTCACCTGAGTAAAAGCTGCTAATGAGTAAGGATTGAGAAATGACTATTGGATTTGGTGACTTTAATAAAGGTGGCTTCAGTGGAGTAATGGAGAACAAAAATTGGCATACAGTTATCCCTCCTTATCCACAGTTTCACTTTCCAGGGTTTCAGTTAATCTGCAGTTAACCGTGGTCCAAAAATAATACATGGAAAATTCCAGAAATAATCCATAAATTTAAACTGCATGCCATTCTCAGTAGCATGATGAAATCTTGCACTGCCTTGCTCTGTCTCGCCCAGGACGTGCATCTTCTCTTTGTCTAGTGTGCCCATGCTGTATACTTGACCCACTTGTTAGTCACTTAGTAGCTTAGGAGCTGTCTCGGTTACCAGATAAACTCACAGTATCGCAGTGCTTGTGCTCAAGTAATCTTTACTTTACTTACTAATGGCCACAAAGCACAAAAGTAGTGATGCTGGCAATTCAGATATGACAAAGAGAAGCCACAAAGTGCTTTCCTTAAGTGAAAAGACGGAAGTTCTTAACTTAATTAAGAAAAGAAAAAAAAAAACGTGCTGAGATTGCTAAGAGCTATAATAAGAATGAATCTTCTATCCATGAAATTAGCAGTATGTTAAAATTGTTCTATTTTACTATTAGACATTGATGTTAATCTCACTGTACCTAACTTATAAATTAAACTTTATCATAGTTACATATGTATAGGAAAAAACACAGTGCATATAGGGTTCAGTACTATCCATGGTTTCAGGCATCCACTGTGGGGTCTTGGAACACTACCTCGATAAGGGGGCCCTACTGTATCTTCAAGAGAAGAATTGGAAAACAATTGGATACAGACATCTCTTTCAAGGTATATTACATTAACAACAATAGAGTTGACTGCTGTACCCCTAACATCTCGGTAGTCTTGGCACAGAGGTGTGAAATGAGTTATTAAATAAATGTCAAATCTGAAAATTCCCAATACTTCAAACCAACTTAAGAAAACCAAATGGTCAAGAGCTAGAGAGCTTCCTGCCCATCCCATTCTGTTCCTAGCCTCCATAATGAGTGAAGATGACTGTTAAAAACATGAGCTTATTTCTCTTATTTTTTCTTAACTTGCTGTATATCTAGGGCCAAAAGATAATCATTAATAATTAGCATTTTTGATTGGTAGAGATAAGAGAAAGACCTTCTCTTTCTGCTTCCCAATTTTACAGAAGTTATATGTAACTGAAAGTTAACAGATAAATTATAAACATGTCACCAATGGGGTTTTAAAAAAAAAAAAAAACACCAAAACAGTGGTCAAGTATTTTAAACAAAACAAACATCTTATTCCAAATCCTTTGTTGAGACCTTAAAAATAGCCACTTATTTTCCAAAACGGAAACTCCCCCTCTCCCGATTCAGGTATCTTTCTCTTTCTCAAAGTGAAACAGTAAAGCCCCTTGTGGAGAAAAGGCAATGTCCAGAAAAGAGTCAGCCTTCCTACCTGACATAATGTCTTCTGCTAATTCCTTTTCTCTTTCAATTTTTTCCTCTAGGGTTGAAATGCAGAATTCATAGCCAGCAAGAGCAAATTCTTGTCTGTAAAGCAAAGATCAGTAATTGGCCATTTACCTCTCATAAACTCTTTTATCTTCATTTTTCCAGCTTAGATTTAAGCATGATCAGTAAGAAAGTGTAAAATGGGAAGAGGGAATTTTGCTTAAAGTCCTAAGGGGTGTGAATCTGCCTTTTCTCAGAAGTTTTTTATTTGTTTTTTTTAAGCCATCCATTTAATGTAACATAAAGAGCTAGGAATGCTGCCATAATTTCAATAACTGACATAACCAGCGGTTTTCATCATCACCCACTAACAGTCTCCAGTGAGTTGGTTTCTCCGCGTGTGAAAGCCTTACATATGTTCGAAGCAATACAAGCCTGAATGGAGACTCGGGCCACCCTGCATTGAGGATTCAACTGCTAACCTCATACAGCTTCTGGGGAGCTTTAGTCACTTTATACTTCTTCCAAGCTGTAAGTCTTTGAGAAAAGCTTCTTTTATAGAAATGGAACTTCTAGCTAGGGCACCAGAAGGCATTTTGCCCAACTCTGTAGCCCTGGACCCTTAGTCAACTGCAGAGGGCTCAGTCAACCCAAGCATGCAGGCTGAGTCTGCTGGTTTTTATAAAGAGATTCAGAAGAACATGACAGAAATTCTTTCATTCAGGAGCTCAGCTTTGGTTCTTGTTCTTCAGTTTGGGCTCTAGTTTCTTACCAAAAGTGGCAACACAAAGCTCATCTTTTCTCTTCTAGTGCTTTGCCAGGGGAGAACTGATGGCCCTACTGTTCTACTCCACTCTCAGAAGAACAGAAGCAGCCCCTTCCTTCCCCAGACCCAAACCTTGGGAAGAGGGACCCTCTCTAGCCAGGACACTGGGGCAGGTGGAGGCTGCCCACAAGATGCTCTCAGTCAGATCAAAAGGTCTATAAACTCCCTTCCTAACTCATATCAGCCTTTCTAAGACTTACGATCTGGTTGTCTTTTCTGGTCTGATGCTTCTCTTAATAAAACAAAATGAAAAGTACAAAGTAACTAAGAGGCTAATTATTACTGCCTACTACACAAGCCTTCACCTCTACAAGACGATGACTTTGTCTTACTCAACAGTGTTTATTAGCTTTGGGCTTCTTACGCTAGGAGTCCATACCCCATCAACAACCAATCCTATCTATTACTCTTCCAAGAATGGTCAAGCTGCAATCCTCCCTGGCATAGGCCAAGCTCAAAGCTTCTCAAAAGACCTGAAGTCAAAGGCCCTCAGAAGTTCTAACCTAGTCAGTCAAAATCCAAGGAGGCTAAACAGGTCCTGATGAGCACAAAGGGGCTGATGACTACAAAACCAGGGGACAGTAGCAGGGCCTCTGGCCTTGATGGGTACCCATTCTATAGCACCACGCTTGATGTCACTCCAAACCTCTGGCACCAATTTCTGCAGCAACTAGAAACCTAAGGGAAGCAAGTCCTAGGTTTCTCCCATAATTCACCCCAAAATATAACTCTCTAGCGGAGTTCTCTGCTTATATCCTAGGAACTTTGTTTCTGAATTCCAACTAGAGAGACTGACAAGGAATGAAAGGCACTCACTCAACGGCGTTCCTGGCCGTTGGCACACATCTAAATTGTTTTCTAACGCCTTCTCATGTAGCTGACAGACTTTTTTCTTCTTTGTAAGAATGTGGACTTACTATTTGAAAAATAGCACCTATTTCCTGTCCTAATTTTCCAAAGGTCTCCCCTCTACTCCTAGATATTTTCCATCCTAAAACCTAGCTATGATCATCTCTACATGCTGTAAAAACACTGTCTACTGAATGAGCCACTTAGATACTCCCATACCAACTCTTTCATCTTCGACTGTATACCTAACTTCTTCTTTTCCTGATACTTATATCAGCAAAATGACTTCTTCAAAGTAAATTATACCCAGCAGCTTTTACATTGCTCCCTCCTCTTCTAGGAAGAGCTAAAGTTCTAACTTGAACTTCCCTTCCCACTTCAAGCAGAAACAGAAAACTTGATTAGGTTTGTCACGCAGCTGGCTATGTGAGGGCTGTGTGCTCCACGCAGCAGACTAACAGAAACAGCAGGGGCAAAACTGGAAAAGCCTGATAATTTCAATGATGAAGTATGGAACACTTTGAGTGTGACACCGAATTTTGGAAACCCAGAAGACCAGCAGGTAAATGAAGATTATATAACATCCCAGGGTCAAAGTTTTCTGCCCATATCCCTACTCCTTGGCTGCTGCCACACTTAGATTCTGACTATACTTACCTATTCTGAGCAGCATAGATACTGGCTAGCTTTAGGGAGATTTCAATTATTGCATTGTCTTCCTGTTGGGAGAAAGACAAATGAAGGAAATTCATGACAAGTAAAATTTTCTCATGGAATATTTCAGATCAACTTCTAGAATGACTTTGGCCGCAAAGCCATAGTCTTTATTCTTTTAGAGGAATTAACCAACGGTGAATTCTTCAGTGACCATACTGTTGCATTAGTGAAAGATTGGCAATTGTCATACAGATCTAGAAGGGAAAAAAATTCACCTTTTTTAACCAAAGCACATAATGGGGCATGGGCGGTTGTTTTCAGGAAGCAAGACTACTGTGAAAACTGCTTCAGTGAGAGGCCACTACTAGGCAATGTCCTTACCTGCTTCATGCCTCCTCCGAGCAGGTAACTCATTGTTGCTTTAAAAAGTTGTTCTGCCTAAAAGAGTAAGGAAAAGATTTTTCTTTTACTGGGGCCCCACTATCTTACATGACTCTGGATTCTCAGTACTAGTCTGATGCATCACTCCTTGTAAAACACATATACGTATACACTCACACACACACAGAAAAATACCCTTGTGAAGGGAAAACAGATCTAAATATCAGGACCCCACATCCTCTTTGTACCTTAAACCACTCATCCAAACTCACTGTGGCAGAGGCTGCAAACTGTCCCCAATATTAACTCTCCTCTCCATCTTTTTAGTTACAGAATCTCCTCAATTTTAGTAGATCAGCTTCCCTTGCAGCTAGGTGTGGTCATGTGATAAAGTTTTGGCCAAGAGATGCAGGCAGAAGGAATGTGAACTTTTAAATCATATTTTATAATTTGCCCTCCATCCTCTTTCTTCCTTCCTACAGACTGGAGGTGAGTCAACTAACCCATGCAGATGAGGACATATTTTAGAAGGAACCTGGGCTTCTGGACCAGAGAGCAAAGGTGCCTATACCTACCTGCCTTCTGTCTTTAGGAGAACTAATGCACTAAAGAGAAATACATCTCTATCCTGTTTGAGTCACTGTATTTTGGGGTCTCTTTGTTACAGTAGCTTAGCCTGTATACCCCACTGTTATAATTCCCTTGAGGCTAATCCTTCACAAATTCAAGATACTAGAAAGTGATTTACTTACATTTTCAAGCTGACCCCGTATAAATGCTAAGTTGGCCATCTGAAAGCAAATTACAAATTTTTTTTCAGTTTAGAGTACTATGTTCCCACTTATTTTAAAACCTTTAAACTAAAGATGCCCTTTTGCTCCCACCCTCTAAATACAAAAATAGTTCAAAGTGAAAAGTATGTCACCAATTAATCTGCTAGAAACACAGTACAGCAATGGTATAAGTAAATGCTTGCACATACTTTGTTGACAAATCAAATCCAGGTCCTCTCATCACTGAAGAAACAAATGCTAATGATATTGGTTTCCTTTTGGTCTGGAATTGAGAGGTCTTATATAAGTGACACCCTAAGAGTAAAAAAATTGAAACCAAAAGAAAACTTAGTTTAAAAAAAAAAGATTTTCAGGACATCCTGAAGGTTAGGAATATAAATCAGAACTAACAATCCTTCCCTGGCGTCCACCCTTCCTCATCAGTAGCTCAGATTGTCTACAAGAGTTACCAAATCATAAGTGTAAGTGATGGCCTTCTTGTTATCCCTCTGATAGGCAAGACGAAGAGCGTCATGCAAAATTAGCTCAGCTTCTTCTGGTTCATCTTTCATGATGCTCAACTGAAAAGAGAAGATAAAATAATAGAAGATAAAACATAAAGAAAGCAGATGGATGTGCTACCAGACAGAAGTGGATAATTATACATACCAATACACAGAAGGAAGCTACTCATTCAGTCATCAGATATTTACTGAATTCCTACTATGCACTAGGCATTGTCTACAGAGGTGACAGAGAGGTCAGCCTCCCTTGCAGCTAGGTGTGGCCATATGACAAGGTTTTGGGCCAAGAGATGCAGGCAGAAGGAATGTGATTAGTCATATTTTAGAAGTAAGCTACTTGTCCTCCATCCTGTCTTTCTCCCTTCCTACAGGCTGGAGGTGACCATGTAGGACCAGTAAGCTTAATTACGACTAGTAAGAGCTGTGAGAAAAAGCAATGGAAAGGAGTAATAAGGGGTCTCCTCTAAATGGGAGTCAGGGAAGACTTCCAAGGAACTAACAGTTGAACTGAGGGAGGAAGCATGAAAATGAGTCAACCAAATAAGGAACTGGGGAGAAGAATGACCCACAGGATAGAGAATGAATGAAGCCCCTATAAGCTGAAGAGAATGATTTTTCAGAAGAAATGCAAGGAAACAGATGAAGCAAGGATGGTGAGCCACAGGATTATTGCCAACTGAGTGGGCAAAGGAGACTGGTTTAGATCATGTAGGGTCTTGTAGGCCAAGGCAAGGAATTCGTATTTTATCATAAATGCAGTGGGAAGTCATTCAAAGTTTTCAGGCAAGGAGGTGACGTAATCCAATTTACATTTTTTTTTTTAAAGATCGCTCTGGTTGCTGCATGGAGAATAGATTGCAGGGGGACAGGAGGGCAGGAAAGACTACTGGAGTGCTGGCGGTGGCAGTGATGGTTTGCATTGGGGTGGCAACGTCAGGGGAGATAGAGAAAAGGGGGCAGATTTGAGAAACATTTTGGATTTGTTGGCAACAGGAATCGTACGTACTACAAGTGTACTGGGAGGCAATGGTTAAGGTATCGCAATTTTAAGAATAACTATGAGGTTACTAGGCTGAAACACTGATGGTAGTGAACAGAAGATGGAAAGAATGTGTTGGGGAGGCATTAAAGATCAACAGTTTAGTTCTGGGCATGTTAAATATGAGAGGTAGGTGAGGTCTCAAAGTGGAGATGGCATGTCAGTAGCACACTGCAGGCTGGGAATACAAATTTGGACGTTGTTGGTATCAAATCAGTATTTAGCCCAGTGAAAGAGATGAGATAACCTGGGGAGTAGAGGAGAAGAGAATATAAAAAAGGATGTGGTGGAAAAAAAAAATTTAAAAATCAAACCAGATAACCAACACTAAATTGCATTTTCAGGACGCAATATATGTGCAAAATTATGCCATTTCAGCTTAGCTGGTTAAGTGATAAAAACAGCTACAAAACATTCCTGATGTTTTGTTTGGATAAAATAGCGATGCCTGGGATGCCATCTTCATTTGCAATTGAGACTGCAGCGGTTTTACTGCGGGCTTTAGAATCAAACCTCTAGAGTCAAACCTAATCCCCCTCGGATGACCAATCTCATTCTGGGCACTTTTGCCCTGGGAGCCTCCACCCACTCTTCGGTAAGGTGGAGAAAGTAATGGCATCAACCAGGTCGCCGGACCCAGCTCCCGGAGGCTGCTGCGCTCGGCAGGACGCAGGGCCCAGGAGCCGCCTCACCTTGGCTCGCTTCAGCAGCTGAATGATCTCGGCCTCGGCCTCGTCCTCGTCCTCGGCAGCGGCGGCCCCGTCCGCTCCCTGCTGCTCTTCCTCCTCTGTTGCAGCAGGCCTCGAGAACCAGGCGAGCGCTGCGGGAAAGGGCTCTGAGGTCACCAGGCCCGGCCCGCGCCCCTGTCCCCGCCCGGCCGGCCCCGCCCGCGCCCCTCACCTGCCAGCAGCGGCAGCAAGCCCGGGCCCCCCCCGTGCGGCGCGACTCGGGATGGCGGCACCTGCACCTCGGGCCCCGGGCCTCCGGCCAGCCCGGGGAACAGGCGCGCCGAGCAGCCCCGGCACCGCCGCCCTGCGGCCCGCAAGAGGCCTCCGCCCAAGCCCCGGCTCAGGAGCCGGTACATGCTCCCGCCGCGTCCTCTGCGCACTGCAGGCCCGGCCGAGGCCGGGGCGCCCCGCCCCCCGCGCCGAGCGCTCGCCGGATTGGTCAGGCCGTGACGACGAGGGGTCGTCACCGTTGCCGTCCGCATGCGCAATGGCGCACACCGACGTCACTCCCGTCTCGCCCGCCTCCGGCTGGCGGCCGGAATCCTTCGTCGGTCGATGCTGGCTGCGGGAGCGCCGGGGCCGTTGCGTCCGCTCAGGTGGGCACACCGTGTGGCGCCATGGCCGTCGCGCTACCCGCGGTGGTGGAGGAGCTCCTGAGCGAGATGGCCGCTGCGGTGCAGGAGAGCGCGCGAAGTACGGGACAGAGGCCGTTTGTGGTTGCGTGGTGGGCCGGGCACAGGGCACCGACAGGCGGGAGGTCTGGGCCTGCGGGGCGCTGGGATCCGCACGCCACCCTGCACACCTCGTAGTGGCCCATCAGTATTTTTTTCTCATGTGGTTCTGCCTCTAAATCCCTCTTCGTTTAAAGGAAAAAAAAAGTGAAACTGGGCGAGTAAAAACCAAATCTATTCAGCAGATACCTCGGGCACAGCGCAGTTGCAGAAGCCCCACCCCTCACGAGCGAGCAGCCCCGTGGGACCAAAGCGCTGAAAACTGCCTGGGCGCTCGGGAGAAGGGGCCCCGGCGGGGCGGGACTGGGGAGGTGGAAGGGACAGGAGCCGTCAGTGAGATGCAACAAAGTGAATTTTTCAATTATTTTACTCAGAATTTTGAATTATTAGGCTTATTTCTCAAATTATGATAACTTTAATATTTTCATACACTTTGTTCAGAAAATAAGTATTTTAGGCCCACAAAGCCCAAATACGTACGCGATTACTGGAGTAAATCTGAGCATTGTGAAAGTACCTTTTTTCCTCTGACCAGCAGAGGATGCCCTGTGACTGCTCACCAGAATCACTGAGAAGAGATGATCTCTGGATGTGTTCACAGCATACTAGTAGGAGAGAATACTTAGAATCAAAATGCATTGACTACCCGGGCGCGGTGACTCACGCCTGTTATCTTACCCCTTTGGGAGGCTGAGGCAGGAGGATCGCTTGAGCCCAGGAGTTTGAGGTTGCAGTGAGCTTATGATGATGCCACTGTACTTTAGCCCGGGTGACAGAACCAGACTCTGTCTCAAAAAAAAAAAAATACTGAACTTATTAGAACTATTCTGATGTAAAAATGGCTATCTTGTAAATAACAGTCAACTTAGGCCACAAAACTGCCACCGTTTATTCACTGGGTGGCTTTTGTTTTAAAAGTGCTGTACTGTACTTTAAAAGGGTTTGAGTTACTTACAGTTTTTAAAGAACTGAGGAAAGTAAGCCAACTTTTGTTTTCTCATTTCAGTCAAGACTAACAAGACTTAAGTATGTATGCTTAAAAGATTAGGCCAGCCTGGCCTAATCAAACAGCCTGGCCTGTATTCAAACATATTTGATTCTAGAAAAAGTGGAGAAAAAGCTAACTGAAACAGTTGTTCTGGGGCTCTAAGATTTGGTGGCCTGAGGGTGTGGACCACTGTCACTTTACACAAGTAGTGGGGAAGAGAGCAGGAAATCCCCGTGGTTTCAGTGTGGCACTTTTACCCCCACTGTGCCTAGTATGTCCCCCAGTCCAAATATCCTGTGTTTGAACTTATCCAGAAAATAAACCTAGTCTTTTGCCAAGAGGAGGGAGAAGCAGTCACCTAAATCTAAGGAGGGTAACTGGGGTCCTCCTGCTTCTTAAACTTACTTTCAAAGAGTCTTATTTTAGTATCCCTGCTTCATTTCTACCTTCAAAGCTATCTCATGCCACCAGTTTCTCAGGGCTTTTTGGGAATAGGGAGAAGTGGATTATGGACTATAAATCAGATTGATACTTGGCTCTCCTCACTGCTAGCTTAGGATTCAGGTTTCTCAGGCCTTGTAAATTATTTTACATTCTTCTGTCAGCTTCCAACATATTTTAGCTATTGTTTCTCTGTGTCTTTCTCATCCTTTGGAGTTTATACTTTTTTAAAAATCCTTTTATTATTGTTTTAGTGGGGTTTGGGGAAGGAGTAAAACTAGATGCGTAGGTTCAGTTCACCATCATACACAGAAGTCTTTTTGGTCATACAGTGTTTCTTAGGATTTTTGTCTGTGATCAGTGCTTTAACATGATTAACTTTTTCCATTCCCATTTTTACAGTTCCTGATGAGCATTTATTATCGTAAGTACATATCCTGTTGTGTTTGATTTTTTTTTAACCATTGTGTGTTTTAAGAGCCAAATCCTTTGAACATCAACTCTTGATTTTAAAAATATTCTTACTAAACTATATTTTTTTTGACATGATTGTTAAAAAAACTGTCTCAAATGAATAGCCAGACACTGTATGGACCATACAAGGCATTCCTGTGTTGTCCTATTTGCCACTCTTGTTTAGCATGGTCCAGAAATGGTACCTGTTACACTAACACATGATAAAGAAATTAGAAGTATACCTATCTGCAAGGAAAAACAATTATTATTTGTAGATGCTATAGCTAATTTACAAAAAGACAAGAGAATAAAATAGAGTGGCCAGTTATTTAAAAAATACAGAAATCAAAAATCATTTTCTTTCATACCACAAAGTTCAAAAATATAATTACATTCTCAGTAGCAACAAAGAAGTGAAAGCTACCTATGAGTAAGTGACACTTAGTTGCATATATACTCTTATGTTTAAAAGTCCTGAAGGATATACACCAACCTATACCAGTGTTTATCTTAAGGAAAAGGAAAGGGGTAGAATTTATAGAAGAGCTTTAACCTCTTCTGTTTCTTCAGTTTCTTTGTAAGAATTACTAGAAAAAAACTACCACTTTAAAAAAGAAAATGGGCAAATAATAGAAGGATGCTAATACCCAAAAACTTTGGGGGGAAAAGGTAAATCTTACTAGTAGTAACCATAAAAATACAAATTAAAATAATAAGGTAACTTTTCATCTGTTAAAACTAGCAACCACAGAAAAGATGTTGGCAAGAATACAGGGAAAGGGATAATTTATAGTCTGCTAGTAGGAATGTAAATTAGAGAGTAATCTGTCAAAGGTTACAGGAGCTTTAAAACATACATATTCTTTGACTCAGAAATTCCACTTATAATAATATCCCAGGGAAGTAATCATGGATGTTCTATTTTTTTCTATTTTTGGTAGAGACAGGGTCTCTCTCTTGCTCATGCTGGTCTCGAACTCCTGAGCTCAAATGATCCTCCCACCTCGGCCTCCCAGAGTGCTAGGGTTACAGGCGTGAGCCACCATGCCCAGCCAAGTCACATGAGTTCTTTAAAACACTAATTTTTCAATTTTAGTTCAACCCAGCCATTTTATTTTCCAGTTTATAAAAATAACCCACACGTTTAAAAAACTATTTTATTGGAAATAAAACATAAAAAGTATCAGCCACTCTGTTGCCCGGGCTAGAGTGCCGTGGCTTCAGCCTAGCTCACGGCAACCTCAAACTCCTGGGCTCAAGCGATCCTCCTGCCTCAGCCTCCTGAGTAGCTGGGAGTACAGGCATGCGCCACCATGCCCAGCTAATTTTTTTTTCCTAGATATTTTTAGTTGTCCAGCTAATTTCTTTCTATTTTTAGTAGAGACAGGGTCTCATTCTTACTCAGGCTGGTCTGGAACTCTTGGGCTCAAACGATCCACCCACCTCGGCCTCCCGGAGTGCTAGGATTACAGGCGTGAGTCACCGTGCCCGGCCTATTGCTTTTTTTTTAATTAAATTTTTTATTTTGAGATAATTATAGATTTCCTTAAGAAAAAAATGTCAACACGGTTGAGAATTTATAAATATATAATTTTATCCCCAGCCTTTCTCACATAACAAGAATTTTCCCACATATCAAATTTTTTTCTTATATATCAGCTGGATAGTCTTATTACTAATGCAAAAAGTACAAATTTAATACCTATCAGATGGTCAAACGTGAAAAAATCTGATAATACTGGTATTGGTGAGGACGTGGAGAAAATAAGACTCTCGTACAGTGCTGTTGGGAGTGCTGTTTCTTCTGTGGAAAGCTATTGGCAACACCTATTAAAATTGAAAAATGCACATACCCTAAGACCCAGCAATTCTATTTTTAGTTATATAATCAGGAAGAATTTTCCTATTTGTGTCCCAAGGAACATGGACAGGGATAATTGAGTATTATTTATAATAGTATAAAATGGAAACAGAATACCTATCAATAGAGTACTTAACAAACTGAAGGTAGTATGTACATATAATGGAATATTACTCAAAAATTAAATAAAAAGAAATACATATCAGCGTGCATAATTTAAAAAAAATGCATTGAGTGGAAAATGCAAGTTGCCAAAGCCTACAATATACCTTTTATGTTTTAAAACTTATAAAACAACACCATATGTATATGCCATATACATACAAACATGCACATGTATATATATGTGTGTGCACATGTGTTCTATGTATAATAAAATATGAAAACAGTAACAGAAAGGAAACCAACAAATGCATGTGGTTGCCTCAGGGATAAATGGAAGGTGGGAAGAAGTATAGGAAGCACTATAAAGAAGTATTAAGAGGGCTTTATCTGTAATAGTTTACTCCTTTTGTTTAAAAAAAAAAAATCCAAGAAGATCTGAAATACATGAACAAGACGTTAACATTTATTAATTCTGGGGAGTGAGTCCGTGGGTTTTACTATATTATTTTTTTTCCCAAATTAAAATGAACTTCTAAAAAATGTTGAGGATAGTGATCCTTTGGGTCAAGTTACTGAGGCGACTTTGAGATCAGGCCTTCTAATCTGAAGTCTTTTTATTTCCTAGACTGAAGTTTGTCTTTGGCTCATCAGCCATCCAGGCCTTGGACCTAGTTGATCGACAGTCCATCACCTTAATCTCATCACCTAGTGGAAGGCGTGTTTACCAGGTAGAAGTCTCTAGATCTAGAGGATGATGTCAATAGAAACCCTCTAGGATAAAATGTTTTCATGAATCTCTGTGGAAGCTGGTGACCAGCTTTAAGTACTTCTTAGATTGTTGAAAAGTTTTTGACCCAACTTAGTAAAATTAACATACTAGTATTTATTTATTTATTTATGTTTAGACAAAAATTATTTATATTTATGGCATATAACATATTTTGAGATATGTAAACCTTAGAATGACTAAATCAAGCTAATTAACATATCTGTTACCTCACATCCTTATTTTTTTGTGGTGAGAGCACTTAAAATCTACTTTCTTAGCAATTTTCAAGTATATAACACATTGGTATTAACTAAAGCCAGCCAACTGAGATTTTGTATCCTTTGACCAACATCTCCCCCTGCTCCTCCCCGCACCCACACCCCCAGTAACCACCATTATTTCTACTTCTGTGAGTTCAACTTCTTTAGATTCCACATACCAGTGAGATCATGTGCTATTTGTCTTTCTGTGCCTGGCTTATTTCACTTAACATAATGTCCTCCAGGCATTTTGGTAATTAAAATAAGATAAATATGACCTATTAACTCAGTAGCATTTTGTAGCATCAGCAATGATGTGGAGAGGCTCTTAGTTCAGGCCTAATGGAGTACAGTCAACTTTTGCTTTCCTATTGTTTGATAATAGAGGCACTCCTTCTTGCCAATAAATTTATTGACATTTTCATCTTATTCATTATCTCTTGTTTACAAGCAAAAGCCAAAATGCATTTTGAGGTCCTTCTACACGCTTATTATAGGGATAGATAGATTAGTGAAGTAATCTTAGTGAAGTAATCAGCCTCTTATCAGACCCTGAATTACTTTCTTCTCTTACTGATAATACTCACCAAGAACCCAGCAAGATATTTCTTTTCAGGAAAGTGAAATGAAAAAAAGTAAAAGTAACAGTCACATCTGGCTACCCCACACTGCCTGTCTTATGAGACATGAATAGACTATGTATACATAAGCAGTGGGCCAAACTCCAACCTCCTGACCCCTCCCTGTGCTCCAGTTTAGCTATATGCGACAAAGCAGTAAGTGCAGCAGGGATTGAGGGAAAGGAATCTTGTGAATGAAATGAAAATACTGGCAGTGGTGTCAAATTTTGTGTCTGGCTTGGAAGAAGTGAAAAAGATAAAAAAGAAGCCACTAGCTCTTGTATATAATCCAGTCTTTACTGAAGACCAGGAAGAGGGAAATTTTTCAGAGTTTAAGTTCTGGTTTATTGGCCAGGCATGGTGGTTCACGCCTGTAATTCTAGCACTCTGGGATGCCAAGGCGGGAGGATCACTTGAGCTTAGGAGTTGGAGATCAGCCTGAGCACGAGTGAGACGCTGTCTCTACTAAAAATAGAAAAAATTAGCCTGGCATGGTGGCACATGCCTGTAGTCCCACCTACTCAGGAGGCTGAGGCAGGAGGATCGCTTAAGCCCAGGAGTTCTAGGTTGCTGTGAGCCAGGCTGACGCCACAGCACTCTACTCAGGGCACCGGAGTGAGACTGTCTCAAAAAAAAAAAAACCTGGTTTATTTACAGTGAACTTGTCAGGGCTTATACCTGATCAGTTAACGCTCATTGAAAGACCATATCAGTTAATTCTTAGGGAGTGAATGAGTTAAGCAAAGCCTGCTTGGGCAAATAGGTGCCTTTGCTTAGTCAGTTCACTTGGCATTCCACACTGTAGCATAACTTCACTGATCTGGCAAAATCTTCATGCATTTCTTCATTAAGGAAATGCAGTAAGTAGTGTTGGACGCTGCAGTGAAAACTTGTGGATGGTATTTTCCTACTCAAAAGAGACTACCTATTAGAAGAATTTTCTCATTTATAGATTAATAATCAGAGTCACTGAACTTAACTGCTTACACCTGAGGAAGTGTTTCTGTTTTCTTTCCCAGTGTTTTTATTTTTGGTCTTTATGTAGCTAAGGGGCCTTCAAGTTTTTCCCATGTATTTTAGTTTTGGATGTTTGGTCTCCGTTCCATTATTAGCACAGTACTTGACCTGGGCAAGCAGACTTCTAACTGTCCTCTAGTTCTGTGATGTAGTCATTGGTAAAATCTTAAGGATTTTGTTTTAAGTATTTTAATTATTGTTGACTTTTTGTTCCTCCCAGTGGTCACCATGCCTTGTTTAAAGTGACTTATTTAGTTTTTGTCATTCACATCCGGTATAATATTACATTGCTTTATTAGTCATAAAATGCTAACTTCCTAGAATTGTGGCAGTCAGCTTGGACTTTGAATTAAATAAGGCTGTAGAAATTTTATACACCCCCAGATTAACCTTAATGGTTACACTGTATAGTAATATAGTAAGAATTTGGCTTACTTCATGGGTTGTATGAGTTGATAAAAGTTAAGTTAGACACTATCATGATACCCACCTAGTTATCTTTCCACAGGTCAATCTTTATTCCATAGGTCAATCCTAATATTCTTGTTGTATTCCAAGTGTAATGTATGTTGCTGTCACCAGAATTTTTAAACTTTTTATTAACTTTTCTGGTTTACTTAGGAAGGGGGGGATGCTTTAGTCAGGAGAGGCTAAATTATGCTCTGGTATCTATGACCCCAAATGTGAAAGGCTTGCAAGAACAAAGGTTTATATTTCATTCATGCAATATCTTTATTGGGAGTTAAATGCAGCTCTGCTCCAAAACATCTTCACTCAGGGATCCCAGTTGCTGAAGCAGCCCCTATCTGGAACAGTGTGTATCTCATAGCAGAGAAAAAAGAGGACATGGTACATGACAATTTTTAATGTTTCTGCTTGGCTACTCACATTTTACTAAAGCAGGTCACATGGCCAGCCTGTATTTAATAGGACAAGAATGTATAATCCTTTTTCCAGAGAGAAGCACCAAACACAGGAAACAATAAATAATATAGTTTACCACTGTGAAGTAACATGAGAGACTTGGAATGGTCATAAAATAAAACCGTATCCATGAATGCGTGAGGTGGGTCGCCCTCCTTGTAACCTAACTGAAACCACAGTAGACTTCCTCCAAGTTAGGTTCCTACGAGTCCAGTCATGGTCTGAGCGTCCTCTTTCTGCATGTTGCTTTTTTTAAAAGGTCTGTCCTTCTGGGGATAAACATTCCAGACTGTGATTGGGGAACTAGGAGCAATTCCTGTAAGAGGAGGTCGTTTTTCCATTGAAGGAGCAAAGAATTGAATTAGATTATCTCTAAGGTCAATTTCCAGTTCTAAACATTTCTGACTCAGATTTTTGCCTGATTATTGGGTTCATTAGTTGTCCACTGCTAGAGAAGGGAGAAGCAAATTCAGAATTTACTCTTTACACTATTTACTGCATCAAGCAGATGAACATTTTACATTGAGTCTCAGCCTTTGAAAGAATCAAGCAAGGGAACGTCTGTAGAATTTCTCCCTATCCCTAAGTCACCAGGCATTTATTCAACATAGTCCAGGGAGCATTCTGATGAATTGGGGACCCACAATAAGAAGGAACCAGTGAAACATTCAAATCTGTGTAGAATCCCAGAGGCTTATGTCTGCTTAAGTAAATCTAGAGAGAAGAGACATAAAATAACTAAAGAGAGAAGAGACATAAAATAACTAAAGAGAGAAGAAATCTAAAGTTTTTCTCATTTGGTAATAGTTTGAAGACCCAGGAATTATTCATGTCATTACTGGATGTTATGGTTTTCGTTTAGGATTAAATGGAAAACAGTGTGCTTCAATGCTCTCCCTTCAGTTTAAATTTTCCAGACATACTAGGGAAATTTCTCCATTGATACTCAGTGGTATAGGTGATATGTTCATAATATGTCAGGGTCTTGCAGTATGAAATAATGTAAAATGTGGCTTTTTAATATCTAATTTGTAACAGGAACTGAAATCTTTAATGGGTATAGTAGGCATCTTCTTATCCAATCATTGGCCATTTCTGGTAATCTAATAACCTCCAGGGAATTCTGACTCGGTCAAAATACTGTACTGAGATGGCTGCATTATATGAACCATGGAACATGTGACAAACAAAAGCACAACACTTCAATCTGCTATTTCTTCTTTGATTAAAGTCTTCCCTGTTGCTTTATTCTCTGGGCAGGAGAGGAAAGAGGAAAGGATCCCGGGAGTGCTGACATTGTAATTCCCCCCAAAAGAGTCTTGGCTTTTTCATTCAGATTGCCATCCTAGAGCCTAAAACTAATTTGAAGGGCTTGTGGCAAATTCGTAAGTAGCAGTTCATTATAAAATAACCCTTGGGATATTTCTGCTTCCCTTGGACACATAACTTATGTGTCCAGTTTGGAAATTAACTCTAGGAATCTAGTCCTCAAAAGAAAGTTTTTAGCTGGTTGGTGGTAGAGAGACATAAGTGATTTGTCCACAAACTTTGTCCATTCACTGTACAGACGCATGTTACTTTCCCTGTACCTCTCCTTTTTGTCCCTCCCTCTTGACTGCCACCAAGGCTGTCTGTTCTTAGACTGGGCCTCTTACCAACCCTTCACCAATCTATGTCCTCCTTCCATCCTGCTAGATGAGTAGGCAAATCTGGGCTTGCCTCTTTTCCTGAGGCCTCTATCCTGAACAGCTGAGTCATCCCTATTGAAAAGTTCTTTGGTTTATTTATTCACCCCACTCAAATGCTTTTCAAAAGCCTTTTCCCACTTTCTTCTTCTGAATCGTACTCCTGCCCCACTAATCACTGTTTACCTGTTTTCACACTCTATGTATATGGTGGAAGGTTTAGAAATTTACACACATGCTATAAAATACCAAAGATTAAGAAACTCTACAATAAAATGTAGATGAGAAAAGCTTTCCCCTCTACTTCTGATTATAGTCAGCCTGCAGAGTAGGCCCTATGAATCAGTAGTTATAGGAACAAAATGGTTCGTATGGGTGGTTGAACTAGCATGACACTCTTCAGTTCCATTGTATGAAGCCCTAAAGGGTAGAGCACTGAGAGATAAGGAAGGAAGAGTCTGCACACTGGCAGGAAGAGAAGTTGAGTTTCCCCTTTTTTGTAAAACATTACTGCAATTCTTCCTAGTACAATTTGCAGAGCAATTCTGAATCCTTAAATAGGTAAAAAGGAAAGAAGTGGTTTTTCCAGCACACCTTCTAAGATCCGACCCTGTCTGTCCTTTTCTTCCTAGGTACTTGGAAGTTCTGGTAAAACATACATATGTTTGGCTTCTTGTCATTACTGTTCATGTCCTGCATTTGCCTTCTCAGTGTTACGGAGGAGTGAAAGCCTACTGGTGAGCATGGGAAGGCTCTTCCCGTTATAGTCGAATTAGGAGGGAAATTGTGAGCCCTTACTTTGTGGTTTAAGAGTCATACAAAATGGCAGTGTTACTACATGTTGAAACAAACAGTATTATAGTTTATTGTCCTTGACTTCAGTTAGTCAGTCATATCTTTTGGGTTTATCCTCCCAAAATGCAATGTCATTTTTAAAATTACATCAGTTTCCTGCATTTTTATTTAAAATGTCATGGGCATTTCATACCTGACATGCCTGCTTTTTTTAAAACTTAAAAAATAAATAAATAAATAAAAGGTCATGGGTGCAGCTTTGGGAGGATGACAGAGTAGTCCTGGAAGTTGGCACTAGGGAATCAGATGACCCAATAAAAATATGAACTAAACTGGATGTTAGCAACTTTGCATATCCCCACATCTAACCATGAGGTGTGTCTTCCCCCTACAGTAAGACAGCCTGGCACCACACTTGACTTTCACATGGGGCAGGAGTGCCTTTGTTTCTCTCTTTAAGCCTTTGCCAGTTTCGTCAAGGGTCCAGAGCATCAAGCAGAAACAAAATACACTCACATACACCTTATTCCAAAGGGAAAGGCACTCCCCTCCTGAGAGCAAGTAGCTATTTTTTAAGTCTTGCCAAAGCAGAAAATAATGGCCTCCACTCCATTATTTCCCTTTCTTTTATGCTGTTAACTTCTTAAATATCTTGGGACCTGGATGGTAAGTTGGATATCCCATTGTACAAGAAGCTACCTTCATAGCTGATGTGCCATAAATTTATTTCACCTGTAAAATGATAGGATTGAACTAGGGCTTAAGATCTAAAGCTATGTTCAGTGACATCAGATCCAACAGTTATCTCCCCAGAGGTGTGTACAGGCCAACATATGTGAGAGTTTTACCACCACTCCTCCCTACCCCCAACCCCAGAAATACAACACAGTAGTTAAAGGAGTAGACTGTAGACTCTAAGCATATGGTTACAATACCTGTTCTGGTAGGGTAGCTGTCAGATGAGATAATCTATGAGAAGCATTTAGCAACATAGTGCCTCAAGGAATGTTAGTCATTGCTGTGACAGCTCTCTGAAAGCAAGGAAGAAATGTAATTTAGGACTAAAATGAGAAGCCTGTCTTGGTTTTCACCATGGCTTATATACCCTGTGTCCACTGGATCTAAAGTATTTCAAAAGCAACAGAAAAAATAAGTCTGTCTTTGTCCCCTCTGATTTCTAGAGAGAATACACCTGTCTCATCCTTATCAGCAGTATTTAGGCAGTAAGTTAAAGGCCCCATAATCTGCATACTCTGGTCCTTTCCTGCTAAGTATGGTGGTTATGAGAGGTCTTAAGATCTTGGTTAGACTGGTCAACCCTGGCCCTGCCTGTTTCTAACAGGATTGTATGTTTTCTATTCCAGTGCAAGCATCTCTTGGCAGTTTATCTTAGTCAGGTTATGAGGACCTGTCAGCAGCTATGTGTCTCTGACAAGCAATTGACGGACATATTTTTGATGGAGAAGAGACAAGAAACATAAAAGGTATAGATTGAGCATCACTGTCTTTTAGAATAGAAGTCCTGTCAAGAAATGCATTTAATATGTCATGGTTCGCATGGAAGAGAGATGAAATGGATCATCCAGAGACTCCTTGTTACTGTCCATTTTCCTTCCTAGACTGTAGGAAAGGGCTATGGTTGTGGAAGGTTGTGTATGTTTAGAAGCCCAGCACAGTCTTCTCATGAAAAACCTGAACCAGCCTCTGAGCCCCTTAGGTAAAAAATGCTCCTGGATGGAATCAGCACTTTAGATTCAAATAAAGCTGAATATCTTGTTATGTCCAAAATTATTCAGATTCTTAAGTGACTGAATTACTAGTAATTCTTAAAAGGCTAGAATGGTAGGCCAAACTGAGTGTGAGATAAAGTTTAGATGAATAGGTCTTTAGTTCTTTTCCTTGGGTCCAGAAAATTATTCAGCAGCGATAAACGATCACAGCAGAGATGTGGCTAAACAGCGACAAGTATGAAAAGACTGAGGAGTTCTGGTTTCGGTAAGTTCCAGGCATCTGTGGTGTTGGTGCCAAACAGCTTGAGTAGGCTGTGTTGTTAGAAAGTAGTATCTAGAAAAAGGGAAGAGCTGTTCTTGCTCTGCATGCATTTCTGAGCTTTGTAATAGAACAAATGAAGGAACAGACTAAAAACTGTCCTGGAAGGAAACTACAGTTACTACTCGGGATTCAGTCTGAAGAAGAAAAGACAAAATGGATACCAGGAGGAGTATGAGAAGGGAGAGATAAGAGACTCAGTTGGACTCCAAGAGAGAGCGAAGGAGCAATGAGAGATGAAGAGGAAAACGAGACAGATTTCACACAGAACAAGAACTTCTCCTGCCTCCCAAAACATGAGGCGCTAGTGAATGAAGGCTGGGTGAAAAGCCCAAGGCCACAGGCTTTGCAGTGTGTGGTCTGTGCTCGGCAGAGCCTTTTGTTAGGTTGAGGTGTAACGAATAAACTCTATCAAGACTTGTGCTACTTGGGAAACTGAGTGTAACATTTTTTTTCAAGCAGCCTAAGGGTGAAGTGTAGAAGGTGGATGCAGCTCTGAGTAACCAGCCAATGCCGCGCCCTAAGCTTGTCTTTTTAAAAGTTTTATTTTTATTTCACCTAATAATACATACACAGTTACATGATTTTACTTAATAAAATTTTCACACTTTGGCTTCCAAGAACTTGGCCCAACTTGAATTTGGGAGAGAAGCAAAATTGACTATCTAGCTCTAGAAGGGGGAATTTGGTAGAGGAGGGATCCCATTTCATCAGTTTCTTCCTCTAGGGTAGTTTTCTGTATGTAGAAAAGAATGAAGCTTAAAATTATTATGTGATGATAATTCTACTTAAGAACTTACGAAAATATCATTCCCCTAAATTAACAAAGCAGTTTCTTGATTGAAGAATTGTAGTTTTAATTTTCCAGGTTGCCTTCCTAGGAACAGGTATCTATTTTTTAGTACAGCCACCTTTTATTTTTCCATTGCCTCTAAGTTAAAAAAAATTCGCATTGTAATAGTTCACAGTGTTTCACAGTAAAATAGTTTGTCATTTTCTACCATAAACAAGGCAGACTTTTAAAAACAAAACAGTTTAGAATCCATTCAAGTTGTCAGCATCATCCGCACAGTAAGAGCAGCCAAATAGACCATAAATATATTTGTCAATCCTTGGAGCCTACTAATAACACATACATTTTAGTGAGATATGTGGTAACTCCAGGGAAGTGCTCAGAAGAGGCAGCCCACATGCTTGTGAGGTGTAGCTGTCTTCCACAGTGAGGATCAGTTAGTCATGCCCTGCTTCTTTGTGTGTTATGAATTTGTACCTTCTCCTTGAAGAGACCAGAGCCCAGGTCACAGGCCCACGCTGAAAGCAGGCTGTGTCCCCGCCTGCCCATTCCCACTCTTGACAACTGTCTGGCACAGAACATACCTGGAGATGATTTTGTGAAAAGTATAGCGGAAGTCTTGGTTCCGGTAAGCATAGACAATGGGATTAACAACCGAATTGGCATGTGACAGGAGAATGGCCATATTCATTGCCCACTTGGGCTTATTTTTAGCCCGAGCTGGCTGAAAAAGAGTGACACAGTTGATGGCATGTACCGGTAGCCAGCACATAGCAAAAATCCCCACGATCATGGCCAGCGACTTGGCTGCTTGGATCTCCCGCTGGAGGGTGGTCCTTGAGTGGTCCATCAGCTCCGTGCGCTGAAGCTGTCTGCAGGCCACCATGAAGATCTTGATGTAGATCACCAGCATTATGAGCAGTGGGGGCAGGACACACCCAAAGAAATTGAAATATACCATGTAGCTCATGGGGACCACATTCTCAAAGAGGCACTTCACAGGGCAGCAGCTTTCATTCATGGTTCCATCCCAGGGCTCTGTGCAGTTGTTGGTGACACTGTCTTTACTGTTCCACCCCAGGAATGGAGTCAGTCCAATGCCAAAGGCAAGGACCCAGAGGACAGCAATGACCCCTCTTGCTCGGGTCCCAGTGACCAAACTTTTATACCTGTTCAAAAGAACATCGTCTGTTATGGTCAGTTTAAAGTACTGTGCAACCAAAGTCCAAGACCCCACCTCTGCTTTTGGTCCATGACCATTTAGCCCTAACAACTTCCAAGGTTCACCTTCAAGGGCATTGTGGCCTTTACCCTTAACACTAAAGACAGGCAAACAAGTATGAGCCGCTTTGCTCTAACAGGCTCAATAAGCTTTTCATTCTTGACTTAGTAACTCCTTTCTGTTCAGTGACAAAAGATAGTCAATGACAAGAGGTGGAGAAGCCTTAAAAGTACACAGTAAGTCCTCACTTAACAGTTGATAGGTTCTTAGAAACTGTGACTTTAAGCAAAACAACATACTGTAGGAACTTAACTCATCATGTTTATATAAATTATGGTAAAATTGATTTTGTTAGAAATTGTCATTTTGCTTAATGTCACAGTTTCCAAGAACTTACCGACGTTAGGTGAGGGCATACTGTACTTTCCAGTTATCTAGGTACTGACCCCTGAGGCTAGGTCTTCTGTAACGCACTGTTCTAGGTGGTTAAGATTCACCAGTGAACAGAACACACAAAGACCCCTAGTAACTTTTAGCAGGGGGAAACATAAACAACAAACATAAGTAAGTTAGTAAACAGTGTGGAGATATGTATGGTATGAAAAAAGAGGAAGATCAGGACTGGCAGAACTGTAGTTTTATAGTGAAGGGGCTTCACTGGTGGGGTGGCATGTAAACAAAGGCCTGAGGAAGTGAGCGCTGGAGCCCCCTGGAGTCAGGAAGCACAACCTGTGGCTCTGGGCGAGAATCCTGGTCTCCCACAAGTAACACAAGAGGTTTTCCTGGGACTATGGGCAGAATCATTTCAAAATACCTCTGTAAACTGCTGGAGAACAAGAGTTCTGGCAGCGCCCCTGTCTATAGAGAAATACTAGCAGCAGAGTTGATAAAAATTGAGAAATAGCAAATATTAAATTTTTAGTCATTTTTAAGCCATTATATCTTACTAAAAATCACCAGAAACCACAATATACCTTTTAGACATTTTGCTATAAATTAGTCTATACATGGTTTATAGCAAAGGTATTAACTTTGTTATTAATGACTGCTCCATAATATGTATATAATATATAAATGAACATATTCAATGTAATATATTGAATAAGTGGAATAAAATCTTTCTGTAACCTCATCATCTCTGGGGGGGAGGAAGTGGGAAATAATTTGATTCATGGCACCTTAAGACTTGTCTGTGGAAAGTATCCAGTTTCCTTTGCCTGCAGGGTAAGGCTCCTACTTCTTAGCACGGCTCCAGAGCCCTCCAAGCCTCAACCCCACATTCCCAGTGCCTGCCATTTCTGACCAGTAGCTCCTTTCTGGCTCATGCCGTTCTCAAAATCAGACAAAACACCTGTTCCTCTTCAAAGATCCCTCCTTTCTTGGTCACCTCTTAGACAGAGGTGGCCATTCTTACCCTCTGGCCTTATATACACACTTGTCATAGAGCCTGTTTATCTGTTACATGTGGTTTCCTCAAGTAGAATGTCAACCTTTTAAGGACAAGGACCTCGACCCTTTGTATTGTTATCCCCAGGACCTAGCACAGTACTTGGCACATAGTAGTCCTTAATAATATGGCCGTTCTGAATATATTCCCCATTTGCTACCTGACTTATCAAACAGCTATAAAGCAAGATTCTGCTTCCTAGGAATACTTGATCCTGTAGCCTGGACAGGCAAAGGAACTGATAGCTTGCTGAGGAAGTTAACTGAGGTCCTGCCCCATAATTTACAGTAATCTCTAATCTTTTCTGCTCCCTATTAGGGTACCTCTCAGCAACAGGCAGCTCAATTGTGGGGGCCTTTACTACAGATGACCTGCTGGGCCCAGTTGTTGACTAAATTTTTCTTGGCCAATGAATCCAGCTATTCCCTTTCCGCTTCCCTCCTCAAATGCAAATGCATATGCACTGTGGAGGCAGGATCGACGGGTCTTGAAGATAGGCTGGATGCAGGAAGATGGGAATCAAGGATGATTCCTTAGGGTCCCCCCCCCCATGTATTAGCATTTACTGAAAGAGGATTAAGTTCGGAAGAGTGGGTTGCAAGAGGATGAAGATCAAGAGAATGGTGGATGTCAGTATACTGATAAAAATGACCAGTAGAGAAAGAGAGATGTAGGAAAGAAGGACAGAAGCTAAGAATCTGAGGAGGTTGGAGGATGTGGGGTCCAGAGCACGTGTGGAAGGACACTTCCTCAGCTATGGCAGAAGGAAGGAGGAGAATAGGGCCAATATGGGGAGGGTGGCAGCTGGGTGGTGAGAAGATAGGGGCAGCATCTCCTTGGAGAACTATTAGCTCAAAGACATACGGAGAAAGTCATCAGCTGAGGGAAAGGAGGAACCACACAGCCAAATGTCAAGTTTTGGAGACAAATGCCTGCAGAAACCCTCTGCCAACTGTCCAGAACACATCAGTAGCACAGTTACCAGTGCCTAAGCACGCACTCTTTGGGTGGCACTCTGCTGTGTACCTTACACATCTCATCAAACCATGCCCCATAAGGGGAGAGCTGCTATCCTCAGTTTATACAGATGTGGAAATTGAGGCTCAGAGTGCTTAAATGATTTCTCCGTGCCACTAACCTGCAGTCAGGACACAAACCCAGATTAATCTGATTTTGATTTTGACTACAGTAGTCATTTTCTTGCTTGGGAACCTACTGCTCTTCAGCTCTCATCTCACGAATCCCAGTTCCCCCCTTGCCTGCTCACCCAGCCATGGCTCAGCTGTTTCACTTTTTCCCCCCAGACACATCTGTCCTTGCCAGAGCTGCTTCCTGGTTCCAGGGAGCCCCTACTCTGAAGGCAGCCACATGGGGATTGGAGACTTGAAGGAAGGGGCCTTTGCTACCCTCTTAGGAGGTGGTCCTCAAAGACAGCAAAAAAAGACATATGCTATTTCTTTATTCTGGTGGAGGACATAACTAGACTCCTAGGGCACAGCCTCTACAGGGAACAGGTTCGGGCTCTGTGATATTATGATATATGTATACAGTCGTCCCTGGGTATACATGGGAGATTGGTTTTAGGAACCCCCCCCCATATACCAAAGTCCTCACATACTCAAGTCCTGCAGTTGGCCCTGCATAAATGAAAAGTCAGCCCTCCATATGTGTTCATTTTACATCCCTAGAATGCTGACTTTTCTATTTGCATTTAGTTGAGAATAATCTGTATAAACAGACTCATGCTGTTCAAACCTGTTGTTCAAGGGTCAACTGTATTGGTTTTCATCCACAGTTCCTGGGTCACAACTCCTATAGCCCTTGTTATGTCTCCCCAAGGTAGGCCATCAAATCCAAAAACATACTCTAATCTTCCCCGCCTTTCTGACTTGGAGCTGGCTGTAAAGAAATTCTCTAACCTACTTTGTCTGATTGTAGGTCATAAGACTCCCATTTCAGAAGGTGTCCTGCCCCATACCAGGGAAGAAGGAATACTGCACAGAAAAGCCAAGAAAAACCTGAACAAACAGGCCTTGCTGGGTTTCCCCACTCAGCCTTATTAGTATTAGATCATGCCATTTTGTCCAGTCACATTTCTAATGGTTGTCCGTGCTTCAGTCATGCCTATCCAATGAAGTCTCCACAAGAGGCCCAAGAGGATGGGGTACAGAGAGCTTCTGGACAGCTGAACACGTGGATGTTCCTGGAGGGTGGCGCGTCCAGGGAGGGTATGGAAGTTCCACGCCCCTTCCCATACCTTGCCCTATGCACCTCTTCATCTGTGTCCTTTGCAATATCCTTTATAATAATCTGGAAAATGTAGGTTATTCCCTGAATTCTGTGAGCTGTTCTAGCAAATTAATAGAACCCAAGGAAAAGAGGTTATGGGATCCCCAATTTCTAGCCAGTCAGAAGCACAGGTAAAACAACCTGGGGTTTGCAATTGCCATCAGAGGTGGAGGGCAGTCTTACGGGACTGAGCCCTCAATGGGACCTGATGCTATCTCCTGGTAGATAATGCCAGAGATGAATTGGAGGATAACACCTAGCTGGCGTCCGCTGCAGAATCAATTGCTTGCTTGTTAGTGAGGGGAAATCCCCACATATTTAGTCACAGAAGTCTTCTGTGTTGACTGTCATGTGAGAGCAAAGGAAAAACAGTTTGTTTTATTTTCTGCTCAGAGGCTCCCAAGGCAGAAGCACTTTTAGCACTGGAGCTTCAGGTCCATAACAGCAGAACAGTTGGCTTCCACAAGACACGCAGCTGAACCAGACACAGGGCAGGAGACATTCAGGGATGCTGTAGAAAGCAAGCAAGCGTCCCTGCACTGGGTAGGACACCCTGGGTCTCTGGCATCTCACGAAGGCTCTGGTAACCTGCCATGTCTTCTCAGTTCCCACTTCCAGCTGTGCTTCTGTCCTCACTGTGAATGCCTGTCTCCCTCCATGGCTGCGATCCTTGCTGCAGACTCCACACCTCTGCCTGTGCACCACTGGCTCTCAGGACATCCTCAAGTCTGCATGTCTGTATCCACCTCCCCAAAGCATTCCTGAAAAGGATGGGCCACGCTGTTTTGTTGCCGGACCCTGTGTCAGTCACTGCTCTGCTGCAGAGGGCATTGAGAACTGCAGTGAGGCCAGGGAAGCAGGACAGCTGCCTCAAGTGTAGGAGAGTAAATAGCAGATGACTGAGAAGTGAATACAGGAAACACAGGCAACTTTATTATTCCAAACAAGGCAGAAACAATTCCAGCCTTTGCAGGCCCACACAAAAGGGGTGGGAAAGTCTACACTCTGGGAAATGGCTATGTCCCACTGCCGTGTGTGGAGCTGCGCTCCGATCCATCCATTCTCCTTATAAGGAGCTCATTAGCTAAGGAGATTGATAGAAAACCAGTCACATGGAGGGAGTCAACAAAAGGGAACAGTGTGAACACTGAGGTTACATAATGGAAGGGGGAACTGCCGAGGGCAGCATAACAAGTGCTGGCCTATTTCTG